TGCCAAGCCTACTTGTGAAGTGACTTATCCACCAGGCTATGCTTAAGACGTATATTATGGTAGATGATTGTTAAGAACTCTTCAAAGTTTAATTTAATTTAGAATTTGGTACTGACATAAAGTCATAGCTAATATAAACAAATACAGGTTTTATAATTATGATTGCTTTCGAAAAGATATTAAACATCTTATTCTATCGGTGCCAGTTATATTTTGAAAAAAGTTGTGAAAAAATATCTTAGTAAATACATAGTACTCACCCACTTCTGAAGTGATTCGTTGATGGTAGCTAGTGCACCAAGACCTTGGTTCGTGATCATGAACACCACGATGAACAGAAGATCTGCGATGCTGTTGCACAGTGATACATTAAGTCCATAGCATTTACTATTCAGCCACTCAGTGTAAAGAGACTCTTCTGACGATAATTAGAGGCCCTTTCTGATCACAGTCAAGGCCCACTCTGATGATATATAGGGACCATTGACTATCATTAGAGGTGGCGGCCCTTACTATTATTAAAATATTTTAGTTGCCCCCTAGTGGCACAGCGGTATGCCTGTGGATTTACAACGCTAGAAACCGAGTTTCGATACCCGTGGTGGGCAGAGCACAGATAGGCCATTGTGTAGCTTTGTGCTTAACTTCAAATAAACAAACAAATATTTTAGTTAATTTTATATATTTCGAATTTCATTGTGGAGGGGCTCATTCATCAGTCTGCGGACTTACGACGCTAGAATCCAGGTTTCGATACCCGTGGTGGGCAGAGCACAGATAGGCCATTGTGTAGCTTTGTGCTTAACTTCAAACAAACAAACAAATATTTTAGTTAATTTTATATTTCGAATTTCATTGTGGAGGGGTCTCATTCATCAGTCTGCGGACTTACGACGCTAGAATCCGGGTTTCGATAGTAGTTTTATTATACTAGTAGCTGATGTCGTTAAGGGAAGATATATATATTACTGATTGTGTATAATCTAAGCCACATTTTATCTAGCCTGGTTTCAGTAAACTAACTGTGGTTTTATCTACTTTCAGTTGATGTAAAAACATGGCTTTACTTTTACTTTTAGCTATAAAATCCAAAAATCTCTTTCACGAAACATGTCTAAATTTTATAACAACAATTTTAAGTTTTTTGTTTTGATTTTCATGAAACTACATAAACCAGATTTCTAACGCTATCTTGCGTGTTAAACTATTTAACTGCGAGACAATCTCCTTTACTGTAATTTGAATATTTTAAAAGCGACACTCTTTTTGCTGACAAAGTTCTTAATCTCTGGCCAGGTAATCAACCGATATATCGAATTAGGTTATATGCATGAATAACTTTCACACAATCACACAATTATCGTAACGGAGATATTAAAAGATACACGTAACGAGAGACCACTTTTATCCCTAGAACTTTCTATATTTGTTCTACGGGTTTTGAATTTGAATTTGAAGTTATAATTCCATCATTAAAACTGTCAGATAATGAGTATAATATTAACAATCCAGATTTGTATTCAAATACTGTGAGGTTTGTTTGTAATTAAGCACAAAACTACACAATGGCCTATCTGTGCTCTGCCCACCACAGGTTCAATAAATTGTTCCCTTAACGACATCAGCTACTAATATAATAAAACTACTCAATAAATTGTTCCCTTAACGACATCAGCTACTAATATAATAAAACTACTCAATAAATTGTTCCCTTAACGACATCAGCTA